GAATAAATCCAACATATTTTGGGCAGTATTGATGTTGGACTCTCGTTGTGAATGAGAGGACAACATCCTGAAAGCGCAGTGTAGCAAGAGGAATTCATAATACTGGTCTGTATGAATGGCATCTTTGAGAGCTACAATGCCAGTATATAAAAGGAATTGCCGAAATTCCGTTGATTTCCAATGTGGTAAATCATCCAATGACCTTGGCTTTCTTGCAAACTCTGTGGGGACACAACTTCTCAGTGAATTTAAGCATTCCGAAATTAAATTTTTGCTTGGTTTGGAAACCCTAAACTCATTATTAATTTTATTACCTACTATTCTTAGTAAAAATTTTCGAATGACACCTAATTCTATTAGGTGCATACAATCTAGAGGGACTTGGGTCACCATTTTGATCCCAAGTTTTTCTAAAGCGGACGGACTATGTAAATATTCTACCTTATGATGTTCTGGGTATGTTCTGATGCTAAAGTTTTCATCTGATATCAATTCAGCACGTTCAGTGCTGAATGTCAATACAGAATTTACTTTTTTCGCTACTTGAGTGCATTTACTACAGCCATGGCTGGACGTGTGTCCAGGCGTGCCTGTAATAAATGCACGAGCAGGTGCATCACATACGATTGCCCTAATTTCCAAACCAATTTTTTTATGGGAAATAGTGAAACCGTTATTAATACATTCAGACAATTCAGACGAAAATTTTGACAAAAAATCATTGCAATCAGAAGGCTTATTATGGCCCAGAAAAACTCCTATTGGCAAAACAGGGCGGCCAGGGAGATTATTAATTCTAATAAGAATGAACCATAATTGTGCCCGAGAACTTTTAAAAATTGGAAGTCCGTCAATGTTTAAATCAATACTGAGAGCATCTGGCAATTGAGGGAACACTGATAATTTATTTAATTGTTTAGATAACCCGATATGCAAATAGGACCCGCCCGCTATTTTACATATATCGGGTTTTTCTAAGCAATTAAATTTATAAAACGGCTTTACTTTGAGCCCTTGAGCATTTAATATCTCAACGAGGTCAATGGCACATGCTCGTGTCGGCTTTTGCTTTAAATACCAATTTTTCAATTGCGTATTTAAGTCAGATCCATCACGGGAATGTACCTCTAAGCCACCTACTTCAAAATCACTAGCTACTATTTCTTCAGTTTCCAAACTTGGCTCGAAAGATTCCCTATTCTCCCTTGTGCTAGGCCCAGCATCTAAATCTAGGGGCCTTCCATGAGCACGCTCTTAAATGTTTTCCCTAGCTTTAGATGTTAATTTCCTAATTTGTCTTGAGCCAACCATTTTTTCCGCTTTGTTAGTTTTATTTTGGGTACATAGGTACATATGTACATACATATATTGAACGGCCGCTCGGTATTTAATAAATAACTTAATTACATATATGCACATTACTTTTTAATTTTACTCAACAGAATTAGTTTTTAGTTGTTATTTAATTTAATTGGTCACTTAAACTTTTCTTCACAAACGCGTGTGCTTTTGGTGCAAATTGAACATCAAATGCAAAGAGATGGGGGGAGGCAAGACGAAACCGAAAATTGACAACCGATAATTCTGGCGCGTGCCAGGGTATAGTCGACCAACGCAATGCCTTGTAATTAGAATCACACAAGGAAAATAATCAAACATGAACATTTTGGCTTTGCCTAAAGCCAATACACCATTAATACATTTCAATATACCATATGATTAGATAAGAAAAATTAATTAAATATAATCTTAAATATATATAAATATTTCAACATATTTTAAAAAGGGTATTCTGACGTTGAAGCGTGCCTCTGCTCCGAAAATATGTGCATATATTGAACGGCCGCTCGGTATTTAATAAATAAGTTCATTATATGCACTACTCACCAGAATTAGTTATTTGGTCACTTACATTTTTTTTTAAACTTTCACTTGAACTTAACAAACGCGTGTGATTTACATATGTGCAACTTGAAAATCAAATGCAAAGAGATGGGGGGAGGCAAGACGAAACCGAAAATTGACAACCGATAATTCTGGCGCGTGCCAGGGTATAGTCGACCAACGCAATGCCTTGTAATTAGAATCGCACAAGGAAAATAATCAAACATGAACATTTTGGCTTTGCCTAAAGCCAATTATTAATACATTTCAATATACCATATGATTAGATAAGAAAAATTTATTAAATATAATCTTAAATATATATAAATATTTCAACATATTTTAAAAAGGGTATTCTGACGTCGCTTCCTGGCATTTGGTTTTCGACACCGATTTTTTTTCTCTCCCTTCCCTCCATCTACATCTCTCTAATTGTCTCTCTGTCGCGTGCCTCTGCTCCGAAACTATGACGTAGAAGCTTCGAGAATCATCGTCGAAAACCGAAAGCAGGTAGAAGTTTCGTTTCTCCTTTCGTTTCGGACTTGAGTAAACAAAGCCCATGCAATTTGTTTTTGTTTTTCGAACATGTCGCCAGGAAACGTCGGGGTAAGGAATTTTGGTACTGAAGGGTAGAGCTTCAAAAACATCTATGGTAGCCCCATCGATAGTTTTGATAGTTTGTGGACTAAACCTCGATACTATCGCGATAGAATCGCTCATATATAAACATTAGGGGTAAAACCTTTAAAAAAAGTATTTTGAGTAGAACCATTATGAAAATTTCCATTCTTAATTATTGATAATTAACAACTCAATAAATTTTAATTCAAATGAGATCTTTTAAGGATGTAGTCTCATATTCCGGCCTACTTTTTAGAGGTTATTTCAAAAAATTTTTTTTGTATTAAAAAATAATGCGATCGGTCCAATTTTCACATATGTTTTTATAGGCATCATAAACTATTTGAAAATATTTTGTTTAATTTATTCTTGTGTAGTTTAATACACTTTATAGCATGCCAAAGTATGCATATAAAAAAAAAAGGTAGGTCCCTGGCGCAGGTGATTTCGACTGCTAGAGTCATCCGAAACAAAAAATTAGAAAAGATTATTGTTTTGTAAGCTAATGGCTCTGTCCCGTACTAGAATGAAATATTTTCATCAATAAACAACAAAATGGCGAATCCACAAAAAAAAAAATTTTAAAAAATTTAAAAAATTTATCTTAAATTAATGATAAAAAAAAAAACTAATCCATAAAAATAAATGATTCTAGTACGGGACAGAGGTGTTACTTTTTAGAACAACATATCCAAATTTCAGCTAGATCGGTACCATAGAATTTTGTGAATCACCTGCGCCGCACACAAAAATGTCGTTCCGAGAAAAACGCGTTTAAAGTTTAGACGCTACCGAGAAACTCATACTTTTCGGTTAGGCGCGCTCTCGATTATGGGCTGTATCTCTGTCATTATTTGATATTTTTATTTAAAACTTTAACAGTACATTCTAAATAAACAATACTATCGAAATATGTGAAAAAAAAATCGATTTTTTTCAACCTCACACATGAGACTACATCCTTAATATATATTTGGAAGGATAAATTAAATCAAATTTCTTTGGCTTAAATTTTTGTTAACAAATAACAGTTTGACGCCCGTCGGACAGAGATTGTTAGGCCAGCTTTGGAAAACATTCTTTCCGATTCTGTTGAGGTTGCCAGAATGCAGAGCCCATGCTTAGCGCTTATAGCCAGTTGGGGCATCCAAATTTCATGTTGCTGAAGTTATAAAAATTTTAAAGAGTAATACTTATAGCTTTTATTAACTTACCTTCCAGTACTCCAATGGGTACTCCTGATTTTCATCAATGTTTATTTTCTCGAACTGCCTTATCTGAATTATTGACTCAACTTTGCTAGACCTCTGTTTTAACTCTATTTTTTGTGCTAAAGTATGTATATATCGCCTTAGTTGGTCGCAAGCCGACTCTTTCTCGACCGCTCGACTTCAACGGGCCTATTTTAAGAAAGCTTTAGCTTCGCAATCACTATCTAGTCGAGACTCACTCCCTGTCCATATTAATAGTCACTGCTTAGCACCATAAACTGGATGATCACAATGGTTGATCCCAGGTTCATCTGCCTGCAGCATAAATAAAATATAACATACAATAATTAAATTCTGCTTTTCATTTCCCAGCATTAAAGTCTCTCGACCAAACACCCCCTTTTTTTTTAACCCATCGTCTAAAATTGTGTCCAACCAATACAGCATATGCTGTATGGTTAGTGATTGAAGGTACGTTGTGGCTAGGTACGTTGAAGTACGTTACTATTCGTTTGCATTTTGAGATGATCACATTTACTGCTGCCAGTTTTAAAATTTCCTGAGCAAGCAGATTTATTGTGTGTGCCAAACAGGGTAAATGCTTGAATGTTAATATATCGCACGCTTTTTTCATCGTACTATCATTCTCCGTTGTAACGGTGACAACCTTCGACAAAAGACCCCACTTAGCCAACATTGAACTTATTGTGTCTGCGATGTTTTGGGCGTTATGATTTGTAGGGGTCATCAATGGTGCTGTCGATAGCAGTGCAGACGTTAATTTAAAGTTTTCTGCAATAAAATGACAAGTGATTGTGATGTAGCCTTCATTAGCTGCAGATGTCCAAAGATCGGTTGTCAACCCAACATGCTTACCGGTCTCCAAAGCTGCACGCAATTTGAGGCTTAGCTGATCATATTCCGTTGGAAGCATCACATCGCGAAAATACGTTCTGCTCGGCAACTTGTAGCGCGGGACCGCTTCTTGCATGATTTCGACAAATCCTTCGTCATGAACGCAACTAAACGGACGCACGTCTTTGGCAATCATATCCATAACTTTTTTATCCAGTCTTTTTTTTATTTTTGAGTCACTGACATAGGACGGCTCCTTGTTTAAAAAAGTTTCCATCGTTTTAGGCATTGGTTCCTTATCAGCGGTCATGCGATTCGGATGCAAGCGCTTAAGATCCAGCAAGTTTGATGTAGTGTTAGCTTTCTTAATATGTTTTCCAGTAGTTGCAAATGCCGGATGCTTTGTCCCTGCTCTTTTTGAAGTGGTCACAAACCACCGATCGCTCCCTTTTACGTTTTTGTCCTGACTCCGTCTCCACTTCCTCTGTCGGTTCCGCTCCTATTACACCATTAATTAATAAAAAGAAGTTACTAAACTGTATGTAATTTAAAATATTCAATAAACAACATAATCAAACAGCTACTTTATTTTAAGACTTGCGCCAAATTTTTGCGGCATTAGTTATTTTTCGCTAATTTATGAATGTATGTGGGTACATACACGTACATGCACACATATTTAAGGGAAGCGTGGGCTTGTAAAAAAGATATATAACTTACTTTTAAGGTAATTCTCCATCGTGCCTTCGTCATCCATCAACGTCCACCAACACCATCAACTAGAAATCCTAAATATTATCGACAATTTTGTTAGTTGTTTGAAAAAAAATTAAGAAATTAATTTACTTACAATATGTTCGCACCGAGCACAGAATTGTTAGTGAAAACATCGATGGTGGTCACGAACCATCGATGGTTTCGATGTTTTGAAAACATCGATGTTATCGATGTTTCTGCACCTCTACTTGAGATACTAAAACTAATTGGCTATCTCCTTGTTCCCCATCTAACATAACCTACTCATTACCTAATAAAAAAATGAGACATTTACAAAACCAAAAATTATTGTTTGAGTAGTTTTAATTTCCCTGAACATGCTGCTGATACAGCTCTTTCTTTAAAATACAGTTTTTGCTGTGAGCCATTTGCTGTTTTTCCTCAGTAATATTAAAACAAATCCGTCAAGCATTTTCATCCTATGTTCACAACAGGGATGGGTAACCGAAAACCAATTGGAATATATGCTGGGTTGTTCAGTGGAGGATATGACGGGTTGAATAATTGTTTTCTTTATTCTGTTTATACATATACGTTTGTTTTTTTATACCCTTGCAGAGGGTATTATAATTTTGGTCAAAAGTGTGCAACGCAGTGAAGGAAACATCTCCGACACTATAAAGTATATATATTCTTGATCAGGATCATTTCCTGAGTTGATATGAGCATGTCCGTATGTCCGTCTGTCCGTCTGTCTGTCTGTCCGTTTCTACGCGAACTAGTCTCTCAGTTTTAAAGCTATCGTCTTGAAACTTTAGACACACCCTTATTTCCTTTGCACGCAGTATATAAGTCGGAACGGCTCGGATCGGCCGACTATATTCTATAGCTGCCATATAACTGATTGATCGGAAATGGTATAACTTTAGTGTTTTTAGAGTAAGAGAGTTCAAATTTTACATGAGTGCTACTTTTGGCTAAATTATACGACATACAAAATTTCATAAGGATCGGCCGACTATATCTTATAGCTGCCATATAACTGAACGATCGAAATTGACCCAACTTTCGTGCTTTTGAAGATAGACAGCTGAATCTTAGTACATATTTTATTTTTGGTTAGTTAATCCAACCTACCAAATTTCATTAGAATCGGCCGACTATATCCTATAGCTGCAATATAACTGAACGATCGGAAATGGTATTTGGTAGTAATATAATCTTTCGTATTTTAGAAGATAGGAGATTGGGACTTTTTTTTAGATTTTTTATTGTAATTTATTGGTTTTATTATGATGTAATCATAAGGATCGGCCAACTATATCCGATGTTTGCGATATATATCCGGTTTTATCTGCAAGGTTATATTAACTTCGGCTCCGCCCGATGTTAGCTTTCCTTTCTTGTTTAGATTTTATATTGGGTTACAAATTATAAATTGGGTTATTCTATCATATTTTAATAAGGATCGGCCAACTATATCCGATGTTTGCGATATATATCCGGTTTTAGCAGCAAGGGTATATCAACTTCGGCTCCGCCCGAAGTTAGCTTTCCTTTCTTGTTTAGATTTTATATTGGGTTATAAATTATAAATTGGGTTATATTATCATATTCTAATAAGGATCGGCCAACTATATCCGATGTTTGCGATATATATCCGGTTTTAATTGCAAGGGTATATCAACTTCGGGTCCGCCCGAAATTAGCTTTCCTTTTTGTTTTATTTTAAATCTATTTACACCTAGTCCTTTTTTTACGCGATCTCTTTTTACGCGATTTCACTTTAACGCGGTTATTTTTGCAGCTCAAATTTCTTTTTTTACGCGGATTTTTCACTTTAAGGATGTAGTCTCATGTGCCGGCCTACTTTTTAGAGGTTATTTCAAAAAATTTTTTTTGTAATAAAAAATAATGCGATCGTTTCAATTTTCAAATATGTTTTTATAAGCATCATAAACTATTTGAAAATATTTTGTTTAATTTATTCTTGTGTAGTTTAATACACTTTCTAGCATGCCAAAGTATGCATATAAAAAAAAAAGATAGGTCCATGGCGCAGGTGATTTCGACTGCTAGAGTCATCCGAAACAAAAAATTAGAAAAGATTATTGTTTTGTAAGCTAATGGCTCTGTCCCGTACTAGAATGAAATATTTTCATCAATAAACAACAAAATGGCGAACTCACAAAACAAAAAATTAAAAAAAATTAAAAAAATTTATCTTAAATTAATGATAAAAAAAAAACTAATCATTAAAAATAAATGATTCTAGTACGGGACAGAGGTGTTACTTTTTAGAACAACATATCCAAATTTCAGCTAGATCGGTACCATAGAATTTTGTGAATCACCTGCGCCGCACACAAAAATGTCGTTTCGAGAAAAACGCGTTTAAAGTTTAGACGCTACCGAGAAACTCATACTTTTCGGTGTAGGCGCGCTCTCGATTATGGGCTGTATCTCTGTCATTATTTGATATTTTTATTTGAAACTTTAACAGTACATTCATAATAAACAATAATATCAAAATATAAAAAAAAAAAAATTGATTTTTTCAACCTCACACATGAGACTACATCCTTAACGCGATTGCTTTTATTTGCGTTTTTTGCTTGTTTACATATTTGCGCGTAATATTTTTTGAATATAACGAACTAGAGGTGCTGATTTCGATGATTTGAAAACATCGATAACATCGATGTTTCACTCGATGTTTGTACACCTCTAATTTGAACATACACAGTGTGTATTACACACACTCGTGTTCTGTATTCTGGCAATTCGGGGATTCCAACTTCCAACAATAATTTATAATAAGAAATTTCAATTTTTGCTAGCTTTACAATGGAAGTTAATTCAGAAAATAATAAAAAACGCAAAGGCATTTCTTTAGAAACAAAAATAAAAGTTTTGGACTATCTAGAGCAGGGAGCTGGCCCAACATATGTGGGAAAGAGGCTTGGACTCAGTGAATCTACAGTGCGAACAATAAAAAAAAATGAAAATGCAATTAGAAAATCTGTACTTTCTGGCAAAAATTTAAATGCGAAGAAAACATCATACTCAAGAAATGTTTTTATTGAACAAATGGAAAACTTATTAGAAATTTTGATAGATCTCAACCAGAAACGAAGATTTACAAAATTTACGTGTTCACTGGATGGCCAATAAAAAAGCCTGGGTAACTGGAAATATATTTCAAGAATGGTTTGCTAAATGCTTTGTACCAGAAGTTAAAAGATATTTGGAGGAGAAGAAACAGCTCTTTAAAGCTCTTTTAATAATTGACAATGCACCAGGCCATCCGTTGATTGAACATCCTAATGTAAATATCATTTTCCTCCCGCCGAATACTACATCAATTATCCAACCGATGGATCAAGGCATTATTGCGACTTTTAAAATGTACTACCTCAAAAAAACTTATCAGTGCATTATGGAAAAACAGGAGAAAAATCCTGAATTGGACTTCGCCGATGCTTGGAAAAGTTTTTCTATCAAAGATTGCATCTTATACGCGTCAAAAGCAATTTCTGAAATAAGTCAACATACGTTATACGCATGCTGGAAATCTCTTTGGCCAGAATGTGTTAAAAGTTGTTTGTCCGTGACAAGCAATTCAACTAATCATTCAGATATCATTGATTTAGCACGCACCGCGGGTGGAGAAATTCTTGCAGATATGTCGAAAATGTGGAAAATGGCAGCGACACTGAGATAGACGAGCATCCAATTAAAGCAGAGACGATTTTGCTTAATCGTCTACACTAACTAACACTACTAATTGCTAACTACACACAAAAAAAAAGTGTGGCCATATATTTAGACTGAGAGAATAACGCTTAAATACCTTGTCACTAAATAAGACCTCTCTCCCTTTAAGGCCTTAGGAAATTTTTTTCTTGACAGCAGTTTTCCTTGTACCGAGCGTCTGATTTCAATCAGAAGCAGTTGTGGCATCGAACGCTCCACATCTAGCTCCTCACTTATTTCCATTTTTATTTTTCTTTTTTTGGTTTTTTATTTTTGATTATTTTTCTAAAAACATTCTGATTTTCTTATTGTATTTTTTTTATTAAATGACCAAGAGTTGTTACAGTCACCTTGTCAGCGACGGGAAGTCCTGGGCCTTATTTTTTTATTTTCGTTTAAATACCCAAAGCTTCATGTGGATATTTTTTTAAGTTGGATTTTAATTTATTTTATGTTTTTTTTTTTAATGATATTTTTGACAACACTTGATATAGGTTGTTGCGGAACAACTCTTCGGATTGTTTATTTTCGGATTTTTTTTTTTTTATTTTTAATTTTTTTTCACAATACTTACTATAGTTTGTGTTTTGCGCACTTCTTCGGCTTTCGACGGCATCTATTCTTCTGGATACTTATTTTCTCATTTATTTATTATTTTTTTTTCTGACAATACTTACTATGGGTTGTTCTGCATCCATGTTTGAGATCGTTTGTTACTTACTAAAGATTGTTCGGCACCGATTTTTTTTAAATTAATAATTTTTTTTTTTTAGTTTAAAAATAAATGCTGCAGATCACCTTTCGGCAAATACTTTGAGGAAGAACACTAGAGCTGTGTGAAAGTCTTTTTCCTCCCCTCGCCTAAAAGTATGAAACCCTTCCCGGAGGTTTTTGTTTTTATTTTTGCTAATTCTTACAGGCGAGGAAGGTGGCCGGCCTATGTTAAGGCACTTAAGTGGAAGTTATCGCCCGCTACTGAGGCGACATGTTGAGAATAGAATGTGAGAATATGTTAAGTATAAAGGTAAAAAAAAAATACCACGATTTTGTCACGTTGGCATTCTAGATTTTTTTTATGGTGTTCGTACTCACTAAAATTTCCATTGCCAAAATATTAGAAGTTTCACAATCTTAAAGTCGAAAATATTTACATTTCATTTATTGAAACTGATTAAGATGAGTTCAAATTGCAAAATTTAATTTCAATAAGTTGGGAATCAAATGCATTGTACCAATACTCAAACATGCAACATCATTATAAACTCTCTCTAGTCGCTTTTCAATTTATATCAGGGGTGCCCAAGCTCAGCATACGGCAGAGCAAACTCCAAACTCATGTCGGTATACTGAAAAAAATTATAGTACCATTTTCAATAAAAAAAATGTATGATGAAAAAAAATATAAATGAAATAAAATCTAAAA